TTTTTTTTTTTTTTTTTTTTTTTTTTTTTTTTTCTTACAATCGCGATAATTCTTCTCGCTTCGCCTGTTTTTCCGTCATCCGTCGTTTTTTAATTATTTAATTCGAGAGATCGAGACGGCACACACCGTCGGGAATAATTAGAGAACGGTGTTAAGACAAGATCAATTACATTATTTCCTTCTTCGATCCGTTAATCCGTTGATCTCTCTGCCTCGCCTATATAATATTTCTCTACTCACCGCAGTCGCGATCATCTCAAAGCCGTCCAATTTATTTGCCAATCTTGCCCGTTCGTTCCCTCCTTCTCAACTGCTTGTAACTAGCGATTTTCCTTGTATTTAGTGATTGTTAATAATTATCACAGAAAGTTCGTAAAACAATGATCTTTGAGTTACATGTTGATTCGTGTAGCCTCGTTTTGTAAGTAAGTTCGTTTTATTTATTTTTTTATTTTTTTTTTTTCTCTCTCTTTTCTTTTTGCGTGTAAGTATAATATACGCGAGTGTGGGTGTAGTGTATACGCGCGTCTCTTCTGTCTGTTTCGTGTGTGTGCGACTCGGTATCATATGTAAGTAATGTATACGTGTAGCGTGTATCTATCGAAAATCGTCTCTTTTTTTTTTTTTTTTTTTCGCTATCTTTCTTTCGCGTGTTTTTTCTCTCTTTCTGTTTTTTTTTTTTTTTTTTTTTTCCTCCCCCCGTTCACTTTTTTCGAGAGAATTTTACCGTACGTTTTACCTAGACGGAAAAGTTTGTCACGTTGCTGTAAGTAGAGTAACAATAGATTAGCGTTTAGTTTACATAACTAACGGTAATAGCGATATACGAGTATAACGGCACGCATTGGAATAGCCCCTTTAACTTTGCAGCATTTAAAAATATTAAGTGTAACGCTATAGTAGAATAGTTTTCTTTCAATCATAAAGGAGAGAAGAAGATTGATTTTCTTATTTACGGGATCGTCGGTACGCTGAACGAGTGAGGGAAAGAGAGAGAGAGAGAGAGAGAGAGAGAGAAGAGACAAAGAGCAGAGACAAAAGGGGACCGATCGATAGTCAAAGAAACGCTTCATCTTTTTCACGTGTAAGTGCTGTTTTCTCCCTCGTAGAGAAAATTCCATTTTTTTCGTTTCGATGCAACTGGAAAAAATTCGTGTCGTTTCCCAAACCAAGGGCAGAACGTTGTAAACCTTATAAAGCCGTTTTGATTGTCGCGATTATGTTGCCCGTCGAATGGAATTCGAACTCGATATCCCAACAGCTTTTTTTTTTTATCACGCATTTCCTATTCATTGCGTTTCCAAACATTAATGTGAAACGTTTTCCTCCAAAAGAAGAGGAAGAACGTTTTGATAGAGATCGGTTTTTTAAAAAAAAAAAAATCCCCTTTTCTCTCTTCTCGATGTCTCATTTTTATTAATTTGATAAAATAGAAAAAAAAAACTATTGGATTGCGCACGAACGTGTCGGGATTACGAAACTAGTTGAACGCATACGAATGTATCCGAGTGGATACGAGCGTAATTTAATGCAATATGCACAGAAGCGAGAGCTTCCGAGTCGTTAAGCGCGCGAAAGTACATATCAGGAAGAATATGCAAACTTCTTTATTTTTTCTTTCCTTTTCTTTTCTATTCTTTCTCTCTCTCTCTCTCTCTCTCTCTCTCTCTCTCTCTCTCTCTCTCTCTCTCTCTCTCTCTCTCTCTCTCTCTCTCTTTCTCCATCCCCCACTCTTTTCTCATTTTTGCTCTCTCTGACGATCTACCACTTGTCTCGTACCATTGGCAAGTCAAAGAGAGGAGATTGTAGCTCGACGAAGCTCCACTACGAGAGAATTTTTACACGGAAAGCAGCTAGAAATTTCTCATCTAAGCGGAAAATTTTCATTTCTTATCGTTTATTAATCACCATGAAAATGTAAAAATTACTTAATTAAGTCAACTCTCAGTCCGTGATTCGCTGGTATACGAACGAGTATAATTTATAATCCGATTTGTCTCGATCGTATCGAGCTGCTTTTTCATTTGCACGCGGCTTCGATTAATCGATAACGAATTATCGGTAAATTCAGGCGGATCGGTGATTCTTATTCTCGAAACGATTAATCCAAGCTGGATTATTTCTCGCAACTATAAATATATCAAATTGAAATAGAAGAATGAATATAATATAATTGGAAATTATATTTCTAAATTCAAAAATAAGTTTTCGAAAGTGTACAAATTATACGAACGATGAGATGATAATTAAATCGATACGCTCTTAAATTACGAAGTCGAGAAGGTTAAGAATCTCCGATAAAGAAAATCTGTACTTGGCATCTAGTCGATACGAATAACGACGATATTCTGATAATGAAAAAACGATAAATAAACATAAATATTTAAATGTTCCTTAAAAATTAAATTACAAACATTTTCGAATCATTGTGTATATAGGTTAACTTCACGATCATCGAATAGATTCCTCTGATATATTCTTCTTCTGAGTTACAATATTCCATCTTGCATTTCGAAATATAATTGAAATTTTTATCATTTTGTTTGTGTCTTACAAACACACATAGAACTTTCTTAATTTATTTTAAGATTAATCATTTCGAGGTAAATTTTTCTTCTAGCAACAAAATAAAATATATAATTCCATTTGTAATAGAATTCTATACAAATGGAATATCTGTAATTCCAGAAAAATCAACAATTTTATCCTCGTAAGATCCTTGTAAAATATACTTTAAAACTAAACTCAATAATAAAAAGTTAAAGTTCAAATATTTATATCAATATGTCTTGAGAGATAAAGAAATGCTAGGTGGAATATTTTCCTTTCAAAGAGGCTTTAAATATATCCTCGAAAAAATTACATACTTCTCGATTTTTTTCTTTTTCCCATTCGCGATAAAATTTATCGATAAAATAACGAGTCAATAAAAAATATCAATCAAAATTGAAAGTTCATTCGAATAAACTGAGGATAATTCATCGTCGTGAACTCGTGATCGACATTTGGTACAATCACCTGGTATCATCGCACCCTATCCTTCGAAGTAATCGCCTCTTCTTAAAGGATATCGATGGATTTTTAAAATTCATTCGTCAAAATTTCGTAATCATCAGCGTTAACAAAGTTCTTCGATTATTGCTACTGTTTGACAACGATCGATCGAGTAATTCGACAACAAATAATTCGTTCTCTCGCGTCCCTCTTTGCCTATACGACAAACACGCCTATAACTCGTTATTAAATTCCGAGAAATTAGTAATTCCGCGCAACGAATTACGATAAACGGCTCGAGACGCGAGACGTGACGACGAGTGTTTTTGCGCGTGTCATCGTTTATTCGATTTTTTTTTTTTCGAAAAAAAAGAAAAAAATGCGCGTGCTCGACGCGTTGCCGAACGTAACACGCATACAGGTGTATATATATCAAACATTTTGTGTCGCGAATCCATTTTGTTTTCTACGTCTACGCGTCTTTCTGTTAAAAATGTAACCCGTTATCTTCGTTGCACCGTACGATCACGGCGCAGAAAAACTTTTTCGATTTGACAAGGAACAAGAGTAAATTCTAATTCTATCTAAGATCGTTTAAAGTTTCTTTCTCGCTACGGATTCTCGCAAGATAGATCAAAAGTTTTTATTACGTTCTAATTGAGAATGACTTTGTTGTACGAACGACAAAGGAGAAATATTTATCTTTTTTTTTTTTTTTTTTGGAAACCTCTTCAAATTTTTGGGAACGATGGAAATTAATTGACAACTAAAAAAAAAAAAAAAAAGAAATGTGTCAAATATTTTCCGTGTTGATTTTTTGGAGAATTATATTATACATATTTACTTTCTGTCAGATTATGTCAGGATGCAACAAGTGACGTGTTAAATCCTTGTAGATATTTTCGAGGAAAAATATTTTTCATTCGGATCGAAGTAATGGAAAAAGAAGGAATTTTTGGTTACTGTGATACGAGATCGTTTGTAAATTTTAACAAATGGAGAAGAAATGGGGAAGAATGGGAAAGGGAAAGAGGAAGAATGGAAAGAGAAAATGGAAGTCAGGGAAGGAATTTTATGGCTTGAAGATATTTTATTCGTCGATTAAAGTTTTGTACGCGCGGCGAGGCAAGAAAAAGAAAGTATCATAGCTTCGAGCTAAGATTTCAAAGGATTTTTCACCAACAAACACATATTTTACTTCGTTGTTTATTTTTACTTGCTCGTTCGTTTCTTCCGCCATTTTACATCGTTCCGTGAAATTTATACAAGATGTAAAAATTGTCACAGTGCATATTCTAACAACACAAAAGGACTGATTCAGACTGATTTCAATGGCAAAGTTGAAGTTGAAACTTTGCGAAACTTAAAATGCTTATTTTTTTTTTCTTTTTTAAGAAAAATCTTCTCTATCAAAAATTAAAATTATAATTTTTAAAATTTCTCAAATTTAAGTTTGTAAAAAAATAATGGGTATTTAAAGTTTAAACATATTCAAATTTTATGGATTATTAAAAATTTAAAAGTATTTTTATATCAGAAAATTTTGGATTTCGAGTTACAAAATTATCAAAAAGTTTTTCAATTCAAGAATTTCTTAAGTTTCAAGATTTCATTTTCAAAGTTTTAATCCCATCCTTAAACAAACTCTTAATATCCAATATAGTTCTAAATTGCATAATATCCAATTTATAATTAAATATATTAAAATTCTATTTAAACAACGATTTAAACAAATTTGTCATTCGTCTCGCACGAGAATCCAGCACGAAACGAAATTTTCTCGTAAATTTCATCGTGCACGAGGGTGGAA